CTAAGCTGTTTATCTGTCACCTTTTTTTTATCTCTTCGTGCTCTTCATGATATTTCACTAACAAAGTGTACATAATTTTGACATCTTTACAACTTTCAAAGTGTCAGTATTTTATAGAATTAATTAAAATAAGTTATTATTAAATTTAAATAATTAATATATTATAAATATTGTTAAGAAAGTAGTGTTTAAGCCATTGTTTGAGATTATAGCATTCATTGGGTCAAGTAAGCATGAGAAATAACCAGCTAGTTTGTCTTTCAGGTATTAGCCCATTAAACAAGGAAAATCTTGCTTCCAAGCAGTGACCTTCTCCTTGTGGTTGCTGGGAATTACAGTCATTCAATGTGTGTCTTGGCAAGATGGATGACACCTGCACCCATTGAGCAATCATTCCCTGGTGCGCTATTGTTGTTCTTTCTCACTTTTGCATGGAAGCCAACTGTATGCATTCCCATGCCAAAACCAATGAAGATAATCATCTCATCTGTGTGATGTATGATCTTCTTTCTTTGGACAAGTTATCAGACGACCTGGAATGTCTGAATACCCGTGTTACCAGTGAAGCTACTTGTTGGTTCTGCTCCAAAGAGTCACTGCACTGTGTAGGAAAAAAAAGATTGACTGTGGTGTGATGCAGCAGTTTTTAACACCGATCCTCGTTGTTTTTCAGACATGTGGTGAATGTGAGAGCCAAAATAAAAGCTCTTTTTCACCACTCTGCATTGGCGATGGGCATAAAATTCACCTAATGTTGTGCCACATTAATCTCAGCTCTTTTGTTTCCACTGCTCAGTTCACCTTCACACTGCATCTTAGCCTTGAATGCATGTGTCTGAAATACAAGTGTGGCGGCATATATTTAAGTGTGTCTAAATGGCTGCGCTCCAGACACTCCTTTGCCATTAGTGCGTGCGCCTCCGTGTGTGTATGTGTGTCTGCAATGTGCTGAATGACAAGCCCTGTCAGTACTATTGTGTATCAGAAATAAAAGAACTTTTAAATAATGGAATTTTCTAATATGCAACTCACTGATGCATGGCAAAGCCATAAACATCAACCAGATGGTGGGTCACTGTAATATTAGGCTCCTCCTTGCAGCTGGAGGAGGGAAGCAATTGCAGAAAGAGTTGCAGCCAAACTCTGGCTAAATATAAGAAAAGTTCAGTAGTATCATCCCTTTAGTGCGTCCTCAGCATGCTCGGTGACTGCATCAGAGACTGTTGAGTGTGAAGTGCTCTCGAGAGTGTGTGGGTTCACTATGGCCGCACTGTATGATTAAAAAGCATTTTGCACTGGCAGTTGGAACAGAAAGGCAGGATACACTGGGGCACAGCGGTGTGAGAATGTCGAGGAAATTACATACTTGGTTTTTTACACAGAGACAGTTTGATGAAGTGTTTCCATTGGACATTAGCAGGAAAAAAATGAGCTGTCTAACATAATTGTTTGGAATTAATTGCTTCTCTGAAAATAGTCTCTATAAATCTGAATTTATTGCAGCAACAACTTGCATCTTTTGTGGACCTGTCATCACTTATGTAATTGCTGTGCCCTTTCTCGCAGTGTATTCTTTGTACTTTGAGTGAGAGGACACGCCACATCATTGTTCTGTTTTTATTCCACCTAGTTTTCCCAAAATGCAAATATCTTTGACTTGGAGTTATCAAAATAATCACAAATTGGTTGCATACAACTACTGTAGCTGCTGTTTACAGGTTTTTTGACAAATAGAAAACTTCAGTGTGATTATATGTGCTAATATAAAATTGATTTCTAATACAAATGAATCGATTTTTCAGCACTGCTGGAAATCACTATGGAGTGTCTTATAAATAAAGTGCTGTGTGAGTGAGATGTCATGTAGAGGTCAGTTTAGGATTATGGCCACAAACTTCTTTTTTTTTTCTTCAAGTCCACACAGCCTGTCAGTTCATCTGCCATCAACTCTTCTTCAGATGTCCTGTTTGCAAGGGTGTTAGACAAATACTCAGACAAACACAGCTGAGTTTTGCATTAGTGCTTGTCATCACTTAATCCTTTTGCAACTGCCATCTTGGAGGAACAAAGCAGCATACATTGCTAACTGACACGCTGTGGTCCATAATGCACTTAGACTTACATAATGATACCCTGAGAAGTGAAACACACCTTATGAATTGCTGTACCTAAATTGCATACTGTGGCAGACCTGTCAGTTGGTAAAGAGTATCTACTTATACTGGTTTGGTTATAATTATGTATCCTTTAGGCCCAGTTTCCCATACATAGATTAAACCTAGCCCTAAATCAAAAGTTGTTTTTCAGTAGGGATTAGATTTTTCTGTTAGTCTAGGGTTACATTTAATCTGTGTATGGGAAACTGGATGACAGATTTCCTGTAATCTGAGGTTGATCACAAGGCCCGAAAAACTAAAGTAATCATTTTAGTAAAGTATTCAGATGTGCACAGATAGTCACACCATAGTGTAATGGTTTACACGTCCCTTTGGAGGAGACACACATCTCCTATGGGGTTGCATCAGGAACAGCATGTGGGGGAAAAATCTGCCAAATGAAATGTGCCGAGCCGCCTGCTGTGTCGACCTCTTGTGAATAAGTCAACGGCCAAAAGAAGCATCTTCGTCTTTTTCTCTATTTAGATACGCACAGATGCAAAATGTATTTCATGGTTTTAAAAAAATGTAAATAATAGATTACTAATAGATTTTCTGCTCTGTTGTTTTCAGTGTTATTTCTGGTTTGTTTTAATCTCTGCTCATTCTACAACCTAGAGACACGGGCTTTTATTTAGCCATAAAAATGTAGTAGCACCTTTTGTTATGATACAAGTAGTAATGGCTAACTCATATTTCATTTCCACATCAATTCACGAAAATACGTTTTGCATTTTCCCTCCATTACACTTAATGCGGGAGCAATCCTGCTCTGCTGACTATGGCGTGGTGTTGGACCTATTTTACATGCGACTCCTGCTTTACTTTTAACTTAGATCACACAGAGGCTCACAATGAGTTGGGGAGAGTTGTATGTCTTTATCTTTGTTTGCCTTCCTCACAAGTGTCCACTGTTTGAAGAAGTTGTCTCTTTTTCCCCTTTGCACTTCCTCCTCTAGTCAAGTCAAGTCAAGTTTATTTATAAAGCACATTTAAAAACAACCAAGGCTGACCAAAGTGCTGAACAATAAAATACAATCACCTTGAGCATGTTCAGTCACTTCCCAGAAAGTGCACAGGCTGATCGAGCAAACAGGCAGGTTTGGTTTCATCATGTAATCTGATTACCCGTTGAAAGATTTGACGTGCCTCGTCTTCACATCAGGCCTATTAATAGAGAAGACAGAAAACAATCTGTCCAATGGACGGTTGCATTTACCTCTCCAGCGCAGTGTCATTAAGAACCAAAGTCAGGTCAACTGAGCCGTAACAGATGGAATTTTGTTTGACTCTCTGCCACTGGCAACTTGGTTCAGTGCTTCTTAGTTCTCCCATTCGTACATTAAGATGCAACTGTAGACAAAGTAATTTTTACTGTGGTATTTCACTTGATAATTACTTCCCTGGAAAAACCCCAGAAGACACACGCTTTTATAGACAATATGTTTAATTGAGCAAATTAGAAAGACCCCATATTGCACAGCAGCTGTGTACACACACAGTGGAATCTGCAAGGGAAGCCCTCAGAGCCCCAGTAAAGGGATGCAGTGAGAATCGCCAGTTCAAAAAAAAATCCTGATTGAGTCAGAGAGCCTCCGTGCCAAAGCAGTGGCTTTTCAACACAGATGCACATAGTTAGCGTGTGTGTGAAACCTCAGAGTCTTTCAATGATCACCCGGCTGCATTGATTCTGCTGGCATATTGCTGATGTACTGGGTTTGCACGGGTGATATAGTCGGTGGCTTCAGCACTCAGAGGGTTTTTGGAAAGAAAAAGAAGTCTTGCCGGATCTCTCATTCAGACCAATGCATAAAAAACTGAGAATTACTGAAGTAGCTGCTGTTTCCAAAAGGCAGAGTGATAATCAGAGTGATGATGAGGTTCTTATGTAAAGTTGCTAGGACTTGCATGGGTTGCACCTCAAAACCATTTGGTAGAAACATGAAAAAATGTATTTTTACAGAACTTTCCAATTTAAATGGGTTTAAAATGAAAGCGAAACATATCACATGAACGAACATTCACTGTTTTTCCCCAGTTAGACGTTAAACAAGCTTCTTATCAGATTGTTTACAGGGTGACTGTCACACACACTGTGTTGCTATCTGATGGTCACAGAGATTTCGCATACATCTACAAGTTCACATGATCGATGTGGAAGATTTGATTGGCTCACAGCACTGATGTGATTTACAAAAACAGAACAAGAAGACCAACAAAAAAGTCATAACAAAAAAAAATAGACTGATAAACGTTTGTCACGTTTGTCACGTTATCACTGTTTGTAGATTATTTATTATTTTATTCACATTTAGTTATGTTTTACTAAAATCTCTAAAAAAAAATTGTGTGCATGGGTTGACTGTCCCAAACCTAAATATGCTCAGTTTAGACTAAGTAGCAATTGCTGAGCATTTGGAAAGCCAACTTGAAACTATAGAGACTCAAACTCATAATTTTCAATTACTCTCATTTCTGACAAACGTATGCTGCCAATGAATCTTTCTTCAACATACTTAATGCTGTCTTAACCATCAGAAATGTCTGGTTTCTGTTTGTAGTCCAGTTGTATTGACCAGTCATGTTTGAGCAGGCTTTGGTTTCATGCTGGTAAACAGTCTGTGCGGAACGCAGAAGGAGTGCATTTGCAGAAATACAATCTTGAAACCGTTGGAAATCATCCAGTGACTGATAAAAAATGCTTTTCATTTATCTTCATTCGTAAGCAGTCATCAGTGCAGTGAACAAAAAAGAAAGCAAGGAAAATAGAGACCGGATTACCTATTCTTTTTAAAGTGACTAATCTTGACTGTTCTTTTTTTTTTTTTTTTTTACTTTTTTTAGGTCTGGTAGAGATCTGCTTGATGCATCCCCTCGATGTGGTGAAGACGAGGTGAGCCACATTTTCAAAATAAAAAATTCCTGCAATACCTTTACCAAATGGCTACTTACAAGGACGCCATTTCAGTCCACATCTGCCTTGAATCTTCTTGGTGGGCATTTGCATCTATGCTGTGAAGTTCCGAGCATACCAGGTCCCCCAGCTCAGCATGCCAAGCCAGTTCTGCAATCCACATTTAAGCAGGCCAAGACAAATGCCAAGAGCCTCAGACGTTTTGTGGAAAATGAAATGCATCATTTACCCATTTATTCCTCACACAATGTTAAGGTTAGATGTTTTCTGTTTTTAAGTCACTCTTCTTTTTTTTTGCCTCGTTACCTTATTAAAAAAAAAGGCCCAGACCTTTTCTTTCTGAGACTTGCAGAATAAAGCCCATGTCACCGAATCTGTTTGCAGTGTTTTAATGCCTTGTTTCCGTTACCATCTCCTGTTTGTGTGTTATGCAAGAGCGGCAGCAGTCACGAGCTGCAGAGTGATCAGGAGCCTCACACCACAGCGTCTCAGCCAGCCATAAACAGGTCGTGGGCTACTACTAAAGCTTTATAGGCTTTCACAGGCCCAGCCAAGACCCCTGGCTTCGTTCTGGGCCCCCCTACCCCCATTCACTACTTGTCCGTAAATTGTGCAGCTTTTTCTGTCATTTACGGCTGCAGTTTCTTGGTAAATAAATTGCTCGGCGTGCCTTTTAAAAAAGTGAGATGGTTGCACTTTAAAGGCAGTGCCACCACCAGAACACAGAAAAGGAAGCACGGGGGATAAAAGCCAGGGGTGAGCGGTGTTGTATTAGTCGATATTCGATACTTTGAAGGCATACCGTGTGATTTATGGTCATGTGTGGAAGCTATTGGGGTTTATTACAGGTAAGTCTTGAGTGCTGCCTGTCCATCCTCACACAGGGTCAGGGTTAAAAGTGCACTCACTATTTGCTTTGTAATGCTCTTCCTTAAAAAGTGGTAAAAGCTGCACTAAAACTGGACAGGTTTATCTGTTTGTTTTCTGTTTGTGTCGCCATGTGTTGACGTTGATAGGCAGATTTTGGCTGGGAATTGGTCAGTGTAATCTGATTCCTTTCTGTCTTAAATAGGGGATTTTTAAAAATTAATTTAAATCACCACTATAGTCAGTATATGAATTTATAAACAACAGGTAGTTGCTGTTTATTTGGCGTGATAATGACACACACAGCTTGTATCTTTGCCGTACACATACAATGCCATGTATGTGTAAATATGCATTCACACTGTACATGTTCACACATGTTCTAACACTTAGTATCTACACATGAATTCATAAACCAAGCATTACATACCAGCTAATTGGGAAACTGAGGGAGCTGAAATCTATTAGCAGGAACCTTGGAGTCGAGACGCAGACACACCTCCACTGGGTTTCTCTCGCTCTCTGTGTCTCTCCCTCTCTCTCTCAGGCATGGCTCTTATTAGGCACTGGCTCCTGCTTTATTGTCCACCGGTCCAAATTGAACAGCAACTGGTGTAAATTTACTTTTTTCCACCAACACAGAATCAAAGGAGCTTTTTTTTTCTTCCTTTTTTTCTTTCTCCCTTTTTCTTTCTTTTGTAGTAAACCCGCCCTAATGTGTACCTGCCGTGGAGTTGATGTTTACCTGTATTGCGAATGAGGATTTGGCTTTCTCCTCTTTCACAGGGACGGGGGGAGCGAACTGCAGATTTAGGACTAACATCAGCAGTTTGCTTCTCCACCAGTAGCCAAATACCGCTGTTATGAATCAACAAAATGTAATGTCACGGACCATTTGGCAGCTTTTACTCGTCCAAGATGACTGATTTGGTAGATAAAGAAATAGCTAGACAATGTAATAGCTCTACATATCTATTAAAGCACTTTTGAGTAATGATAGCCAGCATTTCATTAAAGCACATTCGACATTGCTTTAAATATGGGCAAAAGTAAAAGTCTTGTCAGATGACTCACAGTGTGTATTTTTGCCTTTGTTGCTGCACTTTAACTCTCTGTGGTGTGTTTACTGACCAGTCAAGCCATGACTCGTGTTACTCACCTTTGCTAACAAGTACATCTATCTTACATCTGAGGGACTCCTGCTGAGCCCACCTGCCATCAGTTTGACTTACAACCGCTTTCATCGTTAAAAGAGAGTTAAACATACAGTTTCTTGGGCACAAGAAAAACAGCATTTTATATTTTTGTGCAGCAAATGAATCAGTAGAGGTTATGTCTTGATAAAAAAAATTCTTAACTGCAAAGTGAATTTAGTGTGAATTGCCCTTTTGGTAATATAATGCACATTTCTGTTAATTGTCATACAATTTCAGATAATTTAATTTAAAATATACCACTCAGAGGTTTTGACTTTTCTTATATTGCGTACTCCTCTGGATAATAAAAAGCCTCAGATATAAATAAAGCATACTTCGCACAAAGCAAAGTTAATTGCCCTTGACCCTGATACTCCCGTCATGGACATGGGCAGGAATGTGGAGGTGAAGATGGGGGGGTGGTGATACGACGTGGGAAGGGGAGGGCAGTCGTCACTCTAGCCGAGAGAGACAGTGGGACCGGAGTTACAGCTTTTCATTAACCTGGAAACCACCTAGTTACATGGTTCATGGGCTGTTCTCAGCTCACTTGGAGGTAACAAAGGGTGTCGGGCGGCACTTTCTGTAGGGGGGCTGTGCGCTCGGGGCACCCCATCTGAATCTGATCAGGTTCCCCCTCTCATTAGAGAGTCTCAATGAGCCCGCATTTCCCTTCATGTTGAGATCCTGTTACATGGAGCTCCACCCTTATAAACATGCATGCGCAAACATACTCACACACACACATCTGAAACAGCTTCCCATCAACCCTTATGCTGTGCTTCCTTCCAGAGAATGAAACCACACCTTCCTCATGTCTGTGTCTGCCTAAGCAGCTTGTGTCACAGGGAAGCTATTTTTGCTTCTACAGTGCATACATGATCGGATGTGTTTGTTTTAATAAGGCCCCATATTTTTTAAGCAATCGCTCTGACGGAGCCACTCCTTCTTTCTATCTTGTCGCCCTCTGCACCAATTCTGCCTTTTTGCCATTCTAGTTTTTTGTATCCTCTCCTTACGTATTCCTTGTTTGTTCCTCTAAGTCTCTTTCTTTGTCCTCTAACTGCGCTTCATTCAACTTTTTAACCTTTTAAATACAAACGCTTTCTCGTGTTTTTGCATTCTTCTGTGGTTTCAGTTTTTCAGCAAACGTCTCAGTTAACCTGTTGTTGTTTAACCACTACGGTTGTTAATATAAACCTTATTACATAACTACTTCATCAATATCATGTGGAATCTATTGTTTAAACTTGCATCTTTTCTTCTGAATTTGTAGTTAGTTGAGCGATTATATAATGTTTTGTTTTAGATCCCTGTTGTACATGTTTAGAAGATTTGTATTGAATTGTGCAATTCTGTAAATTGTGTTGTATGACATGGCTGTCACTGCAAACCACTAAGCCTGCCAGTAGCTTGTTTCAAGCCTGATTAGAAAAACCTGGTACTAGCCCTCAATTGGGGCAGTATCCATGGAAACACTACCTTCATTTGGTCACAGCACGCATGAAACTTGCTGAGCTTGAAAGTGCTCTTTGATGAGGGCTTTGACAGATGACATCCAGGCTTTTTGGGCAACATGTGACAGCACTAAGGATAGTGAGAGGTTTCAGGCCTCCTCCCTCCACGTCTGTTTGCCCCCAACTGTTTGGTGAACCCCTGTGCACTTAAGGAGGAATCCCTGACACAACCCTCAAACAGCAGGGCACAAAGCAGTAGCAGTCTGATAGCTGATCTTTCCTTGTAAAGGAAAGGCAGGTCAGCGGTAGTCAAGCTGGCTTCTAATCCCCCCCAGCGCTCTCAGTCCGCAGGGCAAGGCTTCGCTCAAAATGTAAAGCTAGACACATGCCGGGCGAATGCAGGATAAACTCAACTTAGTCAGTGCATTGCTTGAGTGAGTTAGTTGTGAGTCCAGTTCAAAAGGCAGAGAGCAATTCTTTTCATGGGCAGAGCAGAACTGCATATTTGGCAGGACTACAATATGAATAGTCATAGCCTAGTCACGCTCGCTTGCATTTCTCAATGGTGAAAAATGCAGTTCAACAGAAGTGTTTGTGATATGGTTCATTAGACTGTTGTACTTACCAAGTCTGCCATCCTAATAACACACTATGAATAATTATTTATATGATTATGTTGATTATTTTTACTCATATTGAGCATAGCACAGGTTGAGGCAATCCTCAAAGTCAAGCCAAGCTAGCAATCATAGTTCATCTGGTATTGTAGAATAGTATTACTAATGCTAATAATAACTAATGCTATTCTGTATACTCAAATGGCAGTGGTAAAAATGGTAAATGGCCTGTATTTGTATAGTGCTTTACTAGTCCCTAAGGACCCCAAAGCGCTTTACACAACCAGTCATCCACCCATTCACACACAGCCACCCAGGGGCGCACTGACAGAGGCGAGGCTGCCGGACACTGGCGCCACCGGGCCCTCTGACCACCACCAGTAGGCAACGGATGAAGTGTCTTGCCCAAGGACACAACGACCGAGACTGTCCAAGCCAGGGGTCAAACCGGCAACCTTCCGATTACAAGGCAAACTTCCAACTCTTGAGCCACGATCGCCCCGCAATCGCAATGCTCTACTTTAGTCTGTCTTCACTGCTTTCTCTGCAAGCAGCTTTGCAGCCCACCTTCATACCAACTCTTTCTTTTCATCCTGTGTATCTGTGTATATAGGTTGGCATTAATGCCTCCTCTCCTCTGTAACCTAGAGAGCTGTACTGCTGGTTTTCCTGCTTCAGGCTTTTTTTCCATTGATGCACTTTAAAGGGTGGGTAGAGACTACTAGAACAGCACAGAACCACCAAATATAAATTACTGCAAATGGAAATAATAATTTTCTTTCGCTAAAGCGGTCCTGACTGAAATGCGAACGATGTAGAAAGGCAGAAAGTAGGGGTGCGGT